TAGAGACGGGGTCTCGCTCTTGCTCAGGCTGGTCTCAAACTTCTGACCTTGAGTGATCCACCCGCCTCGGCCTCCCAGAGTGCTAGGATTATAGGCGTGAGCCACCACGCCCGGCCCAGAGCTTGCTTTCTAATTATGTTATTACTCTCAGTACTGGACCCCGCACAAAGTACATCTCAATTGTTACTGAATTGACTAACCAGTTGACCAAGAAAAAAATATTTTACCTAGTCTGTAGCCTTTCCTTTATGTACAAGATGTGTGCCCCACGGAGAAACTATGTGAAGCTAAGACTAGAGCTAACCTTCTTTTATAAAATCACAAAAAAGATTAAAAACAAAAACATTAGCCAGGCGTAGCGGCACATGCCTGTAGTCCCAGCTACTCGGGAGGCTGAGGCAAGAGGATCGCTTGAGCCCAGGAGTTTGAGGTTGCATTGAGTTATGATCGAACCACTGCACTCTAGCCTGAGTGACAGAGTGAGACTCTGTCTCTGAAAATAAAACAAACGAACAAGCAAACAAAAAAACACCAGGGCCACAGACTTCATGACAGCAGTAATTGTGATCCTGGGAAGAACCTTACTTGGCCACGTCCCTTGCCCCATGACCCAGGAGATTCCAATGCAGCTAGTCAAGAATGAACCCAGAGCTACTAAAACTTGGGGTAGGGAAATGGAAGGTAAAATAGATACAGTTCCCTTAAATATGACTGGATGACAACCTATGCTCTATGCAGGCTTCTGTGGAATAACTGAAATGAAGAGCATAAGGGCCCTTGGAAATTCATTTCCCTCTCAGGTGCTCCAGAAGGAATGGGGAAGTCAGTAATGTCTCAAGATCATTAGCCCTATTCCAAGCAGATCTCTAGGCTTCTCTGTTTACCATGCCCTTGAAAATCTGCAAATAAAAAACCTATGTAAGTCCATACACTTCCATAAAAAGTTAAGAAAGGAAAAAACCAATTAGTCATTCTAGTCAGAGGCACTTTTCATCTTCAGTTTTCAAGCACTAGCCTGAGAGTCTGAAGACACAAGGACATAGTTTCAATATCGTCTCTGACTTTATGACCTAAGGCAAATCTTATCATTTCCCTGCCTTAGTTTCCCCATCTGTAAAGCAGATATGTACATAATGCATGCTTATCTCAGAGAAAAGTATTCTTTCATCTATGGTTTGAGAATTTCTTTAAAAGCCTGTCATTTTCTTAATGTCAGAATGGTCTTCATAGCAGGAGTGGTAAAGATTATACAGAGATAATGTAAGTCATTGAAAGAGATGTTTTAAAGCAAAGAGAATATAAAGGAGTTGGGTTAGGGAGCCAAAATATTTAGGCAG